TGTGACAGGGATTCGAACTCACGACCCGCAGATTTGAGAGTCGAGAGTCCTAACCACCTGGCCATGCCGGGCCCGTATCAACTCTCAACATTCTATAAAGTATGATTGATTGATTACATTAGGTGGTGTAGTATTTTATGATTGTAATGCAATTATAATTAATTTTTAAAATAATTCTGTTAATTACATGTTGTTACCTAATTGTTCATATTTTCAAATAAACTTGTGTATGTTAATTATTTTTCTACCATTATTTTAAAAATGTGAAAGTTTTATTTGGTATTTTATGAGAAAAGTTTTTTAATTTATATATTTTTGATAAAAAAATTTTCATTTTTAAATATAACACACACACATATAGTAATGGAAAAGTTATAGCCAGTTTTAAATTGATAATTGCAATCTTTTTGAAACTGGTAGGAGCTCCAGTTTAACAGCAAACCCAGGGAAAGAGAGAGTGATGTTGAAGATCATTGCAGTGAAGCCTACAAACAAGCTTTTGGTCTTGATTTAAATCATGTGAGTTCACATAAGTTACTGTAGGAAGAAGGTGTAAGTTTCCAAAATTGTTTTATGTTACTTTGCATATTACATATGTGATATCTAATTTTGTTTTAGAGTTAATTTTATATCTTAATTTATGTTAATATATAGTTAATTATATTTTAATTTTATACAATTTTCTAATTATTAGAGCATTCACTTTACTAGACTGACAAAAGCATAACTTGTGCAAAATATCTTATATTTTTGATAGTTTTATTTTCACAGAATTTGTTAGGATATGATTTGTAGTGATAAATTTAGGCGAACATGAAAAAAAAAGCATATTGATAATTCTAAGGTTGGTATTTTTTGTTCCCACTAGACTTGTCCTCTTAATGATGTACCAAATGACAGTAGTGATATGGAGAAACGTAGACTAAAGCAGTTAGTGAACGAATTGAAAGCTATCATATCTAAAAAAGATGAGGAAATGGAGGTAAGAAATTTTTTAAACTTGCAAGTAATGTTTAACTTCAGTTTTAAATGTTTATTGCTAGCAAGAAATGTTTAATCTTAAAAAAAGTTAACCCTAGCATAACATTTAACTCTAGCAAGAAATACTTAATCCTATCCAGAAACTTGTAACCCTAGCAAGAAACATTTCATCCTACCAAGAAATGTTTAGTCATAGTAAGAAATGTTTAATCCTAGCAAGAAATGTTTAATGTTAGTAAGAAATGTTTAATGTTAGTAAAAAACATTTAATGTTAGTAAGAAATGTTTAATATTAGTAAGAAACATTTAATATCAGTAAGAAATGTTTAATACTAGCAAGCATTGAATCCTAATAAGAGATGTTTAATCCTAGCAAGAAATGTTTAATGCTACCAAGAAATGTTTAGTCATAGTAAGAAAAGTTTTTTCCTAGCAAGAAATGTTTAATATTAGCAAGAAACATTTAATGTTAGTAAGAAACATTTAATGTTAGTAAGAAACATTTAATGTTAGTAAGAAATGTTTAATGTTAGTAAGAAACATTTAATATCAGTAAGAAATGTTTAATACTAGCAAGCATTGAATCCTAATAAGAGATGTTAAATCCTAGCAAGAAATGTTTAATGCTACCAAGAAAGATATGTCTTAACCTTACTATCTGTATTTTGATACTGTAAAATTATTGTTAATATCTCACATATTAGAGAAGTCATTTTTTGAATTTAATACCTGAAAATGTGATTAAAAGGTATTTTATTGACACTTTAATCTTTTTTTGCATAAAAGGATTTAATCTTCTAAAACAGAGGTTTCTAAACTTTTTGTTGTAGATCACCTGAATTTTTTTTTTTGGGGGGGGGGGATTTCAGCAGACCACATAATAACAGAATAATTTAACAAAACAAAATAAGCAAATAAAGATCACTATAATATTAATTACAAACTTACTTTCCTATGTTTTAATGAGATGTAATTCCTTTTTTTTTGTGAGCAAATTTCTAAAAAGTCAGGCATAATATTCCTCAATGTTAGCCTAAGATCAGGAACAGCATTTATCCTGCTTTTATATTAGGTCTTCAGAAGCACAAGTGATGAAAATCACAGGTACATAGTAGCAAATAACATCAGAAATCAAACTGCCTTGTCTGCAGGTTTTGGGTACTCTCCAGTTCTCTGAATACAAAACTCTAATAATGACTTTAATGTTTCGCTACAAGAAACTCCAATAACCATTCTTCTTCTTTCATAGAGACAGCAACAGGCAAGTCATTATTTTACAATGTGTGAACGCTCTCGTCTAAAAAATAATTTTCCACTTGAACTAATGTTGAGTTTTAGACTTTTTTTTTTTCATTTAATTTATACACATCCTTCCTGCTGAATTTTTAAAGTCTCAAGTATTGAGTTTACTCTGGAATCTACCAACTCTTCATTTCTGTAATTATAAAACCTTTAAGTGTTCACTTGACTCAATGTCAACAGTTTAGGAACTTCAGTTCTAAAGAAACTTCACCAACAGAAATTTCACGGCAAAATAAAATTTTGATATGATGTGTTTTGGATGAGTGCTTTGTTTGTTTGATATTACACGCAAAGCTATACAATGGCACCTATCTATGCTCTGCTCACTGTGGGTTTCAAAACCTGATTTTTAGCAATATAAGCCCTGAGACTTATCACTTATACAGGGAGGGGAGCTTGCATGTTATTTAATAGATTACGCACACACTTTGAGTAAGTTACAGTGATGATATAGTTTGAGTAAGTTACAGTGATGATAGAGTCTGTGTTTAAACTGTAATTGCTTATACTAGTTCAATAATTTTTTTATGCCCCCACTGTTTTGTGAAGTAGAATGAGGCATATTTGGTTACTCCTGTCCGTCTGTGCTTCATCCATCCGTCCCAGTCTTGTGTGCAGAATATCTCAGGATTGAATAGATGGATTTTGGCCAAACTTATACTTTGCATTTGGAACTAAAATTTAATCACACAAATGAGAAGAAGGTTATTAGTGAAACATACACAAAGAAAACACAAAATCAAACAAACATAAAACTAAGTCAAAACAGATACATCAAATAAACACCACTATGAACTTAAAATAATTGAGAACAATAACAAACTAAAAAAGGCTGAAACTTGTTACTTTTTTTTAGAAAACATGTTTAAAAATTCAATTTTTTTCTAACTTCTTCTGTTTACTGTAACAAATTTTATGGTTTTGTAATTTTGTGTTTTATGGATAAGCTTTTTCAAAGTTATATTTTTAATCTTTATGTAACTTAAATAATTTGTTACTATTTGACTCCAACATTTAAATGTCAACATTTTCCTGTTGTAAAACTGGTGACTTATGTAATAATTCTCTTTCACACTTTTTTAAATGTAGTTTCAACTGTGAGAAACAATATGATAAAGAATCAGTTTAGACAGCAGCCTTGATATGTACAGGCTCTGTTTTTTCTGATAAAACTGTATTTTAAACCTAAATAATTTTTGGAACTTATAAAAGGTTTTGGCCCTTTGACTTGAAATATAAGTTCTTCAATTTTGTCATTCCCTACACGTATTTTAGAAAATGTGTTAAATTTCAACTCACAGCTAAATACACTGATGAGAAAAGAGTTATGAAACACTCATCCCTCTGATTTCTTGCATATGTACATCTGTTTTGTTTGAATTATGCTAACAGTGTATTAAAATAGAGTGTGGTAGTAGCGATCTGTGTTAAACATAGTGTTAATCTGTGTTATATAGAGTTAAATCACTACTTAGGTTATAACTTTGTTTTGTTCTGTTTAGATGTCAAACCAAAAATTCTCCAAAGATGAAGAGAAAATCAAGTTTCTAGAAATAAAAATCCAGAAGAGAGAGAACTTAGTTCAAGATTTGACCCAGACCATTAGCAAAAAGGATAAAGAGATACAACAACTGAACAAAATTTTAGAGGACAGACATGGAGCAATTGAATCTATTGATGGAGCTTTCACCACAGCCCTCTACAAGGCCACTGTGGCAGTGTCGAACGGCAACAAAATTGGTATTGTTGAAGCAAGGGAAGAACTCAAAGCGGCCTTGAAAAGAGTTAGTTTGGATTGTGTATGTTTATAAAGATGGTAGTATGTATGTGTGTGTGTGTATGTATATATATATATATACACACACACTGAGTGGTCACAAGTAAATAGACACCTTAATTTTTCATCTATTTAACTGTATTTATGCTAACTAATTTGTGTTCACA